GGAGGTTATAGGTAATGTGATAGGCCAGGGCAGAACGGGAGATATCATAACTGTTTAGCACATGTTTGGTTAAAGGATCGGGTTCACTTCTCTCTTTGACGAGTCGTAATATAGTCCTACAAATGGTGAAACTCACTATCGATGCCAGCGAAACGTTTGGAAATGTACAACATCCACGGTTCAACTTTGGAAATGATCATACAGACAATGGACTCCGGACAAGGTGCGTTCCTATATGTCTTCCTACCAATATGACCAGGTTGCGAAAACAAGGTCAAGCAACCTCTAAATAGGCTTTAGTTCTACTTTCGTTTAAATAATCAATATTTTTATCGTTCTCATAGACGAAATAGTGTGATAGAAGTAAGACTAGGTGAATCTACGACGGTACAAGCTTTTATCTTTTGCATACGAAGAGAAACTGGATTACGAAGAATTTCCTATTAGAGTGATGTTGTCGAACCTTTCGTTTCATTCAAAATCTCGGCTGGAAGGGATTCACAAATTTACCTTATCACTCACGCATCCACAAATCTAAAACACTCATCGAAATCTCATGCTTAAACATTAGTTCCTTTGTGTAGTAAAACAGCTTTCCTCCATAAACTATTTTTATCCGCAAGCAACTAAGATGAGCATGAAGTAGTCAACCCCATCATAGGATGCCCCATTAAGGTCGCATGATCAGATATAAGGCGTAAATAGGATTCTAGCCGGCCGCCTTTCCTTATTTAATATTTTGGGGGATTCTTTCGTAAATGAAGTCTGTCTCTAAAGACGCGGTCATATTTTCAGGATAATGCTTAGCACAAATTCATGTGAGATAAATTTTTCATCACACAATCCAGCAGTCACAAATCCAATGCAATCCTCCTTCGGTTACCAATACGCCCCACTTACAAATCTCTTCCTACCATCCTTTAAAATGGAATGAAAGGTACAAAAGCATCATCTCATTAAGAGATTTTATGGAATCCAACTCATCTTCGTTTACATAAGCTACAAAATTATTTCATTTGTTGGTCCATTTATAATTATTTTGATCTCATTAGTTGTTTTTCGTCTATTTTTTATATTGTGATTGATTTGCCTTCCTATACTTTAAATACAATGGCATAACTAAGTTTTCGTTTTCACTGTATGCCAGATTATCTATTTGCTAATTTGCACATGAATACTCGAGTATTATTTGTTCATATCATAAGTGCATGTCGATAAACTTAGTACATGTTCCCATCCGAAAGGTAGTTGCAAAAATATTTTTGTGCACCTTTTACTCATAAACATTCACTGATGCATTCCCGCATACTCTTAGACCTCTGGTGCTTCGGCTCTCTCTGGACAGCAGGGCCAGCTACCGCAACAGTCGCAACAACAACAGCCACAGGCTCCACCGCCTCCTCCACCTCCTCAGCCACCTCCCTCCCAACAACAGCCTGCCGATACCGTCCAAACTACGAGTGGCGGACCAAACCAGACCCCCGGTGACCCAACCTCTGCAGCCCCACCTGGCTTACCAGCCAGCAATCACACTGGCCTCACAACCAATAACAACCATCAGGTTAACTGATTTAATGGCGATTATTATTAATAAATAGATTACTAAGTAGCTTATAGGAATGCATTCTTTTGTCGATCGGCCATTCAAGCTTAGTTAATTCATAGAAGTGGGTTGACCTAATTGTTGCAACTTGGTCTTGTTGTCAAGGCGACTATATAATATTTTCATGATTCCCAGCATCTGACAGTGGACTTGATACATTCTCAAACGTTTCGCCGAATTCGTAGTCGGCATCATCAGTGAGCTTTGCCATTCTCCGCACCAAGCTACGAATTCATCAAAGAGAAAAATGTAGTCAATGCCTCGACGACCGTTCTACCAAAAACGGTTACACTATCACTCTTCTTTCTGTCATTGTATATTTATCTACTCTTTACAATTTTATCCCACAGCCGCCCTATTACAGCTT